CTCAAACCGAACCAAGGCTGGGTCCATATATGATACACAATAAGGTAACAATAAGAAATGTCATATGTGAACCTTACCTAAGGTTCTGCCACAGCTATATTTCTATTATTAGAATTGAAAAAACTTGGTGAATATCAATTTTGTTAATAGTTGGTAATCTATTAACTTAAATTTACAGTATTAATCAACGCTGTGATTAACATTTACTAGAAGATATAAAAATTCAACCAAATTTCTCCAAACTTCAAAGTATGTTGACCAATCAAAAGGTTACATACTTAGAAGTCGTAAAATTAAAATCGAGTCTTACCTTGAGTATCCCTGTGAGCTCCAACTGCTTCCTGTGCATTCATGAACACCTCATCCGTCGTTTGGTTACCTGACATTGGCCATTGACCGAAACCTAAAAAAAAATTTCAGAATTACTATATAGAAAAAACATTAGTCAATAATATTACACATACTTTGGTTAGAATTGTCATGAGATGGGCCAGCTCTTGACATGTCCATACTGTTATCCATATCATCATCATCATCTAAAGTCAAGTCTTCTATACTGTCCTCGTTGTTCATTTCTTCCAAATACTCAGTCTTAGGTTCAATCAGTTCGCCTGTCATTTCGATCTTTGGTCCAACCACTCCTTCAACAGCAACCGTTGTGTCATGGTTATTGACGACACGGCTGTTATCAGTCTCTTGATCACCGTCCTCCAACGGTGGTGCACCCTTAGTTATGGTGGCAGGAATGTTAGGAACACCGACGCCGCTCAGGGCTCCGGACTGAAGGGGCGGTACATCACAGGAGTTGCTCGTATCAATATGACTGTCTGGATCATCGCTTGTTGACGGCCTGCGCTGGTTACGCCTACGTTTCCTTGGTGTGGGTGAGGCACTATCATCACGAGACCTGATGTGTGGACTTTCTGGTCTCCTCTCTATCGTTAAACCCTGTGCTGTTGTAGATGGGCCACGTGTGACCGACTGTTGTTGTACTGGTTTCCTAACAGGAGCGGCAACCGGTGCCCTGTTTGGTGCTGAAGTAGTGGCACCTTCATCAGGGCCACCACCGTCGGTTAAGCCCTTGATCTGCAATGATTCTGCAGCTTTCAGGAACGTGCTTAACTGGTCTTGGGAAATATTGACTTCCCCTCTGTACATATAATCCATCATACTTTTAAGTTCTTGGAACTTGATATCCTTGAGTATGACAATTGGGTGCTTTTCATAATGTTGGCTAAGTAATAGCTGTAAATAGAAAAAAATCAATTTAATTAATATTACAAATTTATACACTATAATAAACCTAACGATGTTCTAAACAACTTTAACGATAATAATTATTAATTAAAATTTAAATTAAATAAAACAAAATCAATCTGCCATCAAAAATAAAAATGCTGTTTAGTTTTTTTTTTTATTTCAGTACAAAACTATAATTTATAGTTTAAAACACAAGTATAAATAGTGCCTTTAATAATTCTATAAATGGGAAGGTTCAACTAGAAATATATAGCATTAACACTATAAACAAAATATATAGTTGTATTGCGAAATCAAGAAAAAAGTTAGACTCAACCACCAGATTTGACTTTTGAAAATTAAAAACAAGTTTGATAGTATACACTGATAACAGTGATAACATTATACCCCTGCGATACTACAGCTGTTATCACAGTATATAAATCCGAAAATTAATTTAAAATTGAATAAACAATTATTTGGAACCACGTATGAAACTTTTTTTGTCACTTCTAATGAGCACCTAATAGACTTCAATGAAATAAGTGTTGTGCTATAGAAAGCATAGTAATGATTTAAATTGGAAACCCATAATTAATGCGCAATAAATACAAGCAACTTAATACATAATTTTAAAAATCTGTTGATATTAAATACAAAAGTAAATATTATACTATGAAACAGATATTGTATTTTTATTTTTTAAGTTCATAAAATTACTATGTTCCCACAAATTATTTTTGAATTAGACACCTCAAACATATTCATTACATTGGTAAATTTTTTAAAATTAAGATTTTAAACCTGATGAAAAAAAAAAAATTAAATTTATTTATGGATATAAAGTTTATTTTCAAATGATTACAAGATTTAAGACAACCTAGGGTAATATTGTATTAAGAGTTTAAAAAAAATAATATTTTGGCATTTTCAATAAACTTCATATAGTAACTATCAATCAATAATATTTGAATATTAGAGTGAAATGTGTCAATAATTCTACAATAAACAAACCATGGTCCTTGAACATTAATGATAGAACAATAAACTCTTAAAATATAAGACTGATAAGAAAAATTGTCTTATATACATAATTTTGGTGTACAATAATACTCAATATTGTTTACAGACAAAATTCCCGAAATATCAGATCACACTTTATAATGAATAAGTTTGTGAATGTGTGAAATTTCTAAGACTTGAATCTAATAACGAGATAAATACTTAAGACAAAAGAATTTAATGTCACGAAACGAAATACCTTATCAAATAATATATTTGATAATGTGCTAACAGATAACACCGTAAACAATGCAATCACTGATAACGTTGTAAATAACGCAATCACTGATAACAATACTATCAATACCACACTATCATTGATAAAAATGTGAGCAATAATCAGTGGTAACATGGAAAAAACCAATGGTAACAATATTAAGAACACAATCACAGATAACCATGTAAACAATAAAATCAAATAAAACAAAATTAAACACCTTGGCAAACCATTTTTAAGAATTAAAAACAAGATGGAAATATAAGATACCTAAACAAAAGACGTAAAATATGTATTTTACATTGAAACACTTGTCATACAATGGATAACACATCAGAGCCAAATTCCACAACTTAAAAATCAACAACCAATTGTTCGTAATTAAATTAAATGTCTAATCATACTAGTGAATATTAAAAACATGACAGATAATACTGTATTATATTTTAAGATATTAAACTCCTTTTACGTTATTTATGAAAAGAACATAAACAGAAAGTCAGAATTTCAATAATATCAATTACAAAAACTAAAAAAACTTGGTTCCTGGTAGCAGAATATATGTGAAATTAACATTATATTAGCACCACACATCAATAATTCATGGTTTAGATTGAAATCCATTTTAAGAAGTGTGATTTAAAAAATAGTCAAGATGTGAATTTAATAATGTTGAAACCAAAATCTAGTAAAACTGAACAAAGTGATATAACAGCATAAATAATAAACCTATTTCGAGTTGGTATGCATAATTGAAAAAGATAATGTTTAAGATTTAAATAATAATGGTAAGTGTACATACAATGACAGCAACAAAAATATTTCAAAATAAAACAATAAGGAAATCTCGAAAATTAAATTAATTTAATTGAATTAATTATTTTAGAAGTTTTAATTACCACCTAATCATAACAATTTGTTTCAATTACTCTTGTCACATGAGTATACGCTAAACCTATCAAATAATAAAAGACCAATCCCCCAAGGCCCATTAACAATAATCACATAACACTGGTGGATATTTAATAATTATCAATATTATTTCTATATTAAAATTGCCATAGGCATAATAGTCTTTAACGAGTACCAAGAATAATACGAAATAGAAATGGAAAATTGCCAGAATTATGAGAAATAAATGGCACGTAGACCAAAAACAGAAAATAATTCAAAGAATTAACGATAATAATAATGCATTCTCACCAAACGAAAGTTTTTTTTTTTTTTATAAATTAGACAAAATATTTCGAACTAGGGAATTATAATTACCTCCAAGTATGGGCTGCAAGCACACAGCACGACCTTATGAGCTTTAAGGTATTTCCCTTCGGCCGCCAACGTGCAGTCGACTAGCGTACCGCTTTCCAACAACGTATCGAACACGCTAATCAACGTGCTCTGATGGTTGTTCCAGCGCAGACAGAAATGTTGGTTGTCTCCCGCCATGTTTATCACAGATCTATAAAAAAAAAAAAAATAAGTTAAACAAAATACCTAAGCGTCGGGTAGACACGTAAATCGGAAGTATAACAAACACAAGATATCTCACCTTATAATTTAAACAACATTTACAAAAGTTAATTGAATTAAAAAAAAAAAAAAAAACGTAAGTCAAAACAATAAAACACTTATTAACGGTTGATTTGGTTAAATAATTAATACTGAATATTAACGTAAGGCATTAAAAATTAGCGTTCAGAACTAACGCTTTCTAAGTCAACGAGTAGGAAAAATAGTTATGCGCGACTGCTGGGAAGTGAATGTGATGAAATGTTAGCGGGGGGACATTGAAAGCAGCAGCAGCAGCAGCAGAGCGAGTACACGACCGTCCTGCTTCACATCAAGTACGAAACAAAGCAATTGACGATGGCGCGTCCGGGTCGCAGTCAGAACGCTCGTGCGCAAAATACGAAAACAGGCGTTGTGCGCACAGAGCGCCGATCGCCGCGCGGCGGCCGTGGTCCTGTCCCGTGTTCTGTGCCAAAAAACTCGATTGCGCGGCGTAGCGCTCGCCCGGTACGACGACCGGACGGGCGTGTCGGACACGGCGGCCGTGCACAAGCCGCCCGGGCAACCGTGTCAGGAACAGAACACGGCACAGGACCCGGGCGAGTCTTGTGGCAGCTGCAAGTAAGCCGCCCGCTCACCCGCGCAACCGTCCGCCCAACGGTGCGGTCGGGGCCCGCGCGGTGCTGGCCGCTGCAGGCTGACGACCCGATGTTCGGCACCGGGCCAGAAACCGTCCATAGCAAACGGGCCGTTCCCCACCCGCCCGACCACGCGTTTTTGCTTGATCGAACGAGCTCTCACGACCCGGCCGCCGCCGCCGCCGCTGCCCGTACAAAAACCATGGCGGCGGACATTTTCCCGTCGACCGTTGCCGCTGCAAAGCGAAATCCAAATCCACTTTCGGCCGTTTCGACCGTGATCATCGGTAATTTCCGCGGAACAACAAGAAAATTGTATTTTCGAAAGAATAAAAATGATACACAAGGTGCACACGTTTTTCGAAAATCACCCAACTCCCAAACGACAATTAACCATTCGACAAATTTTAATAAACGGTATGCATTTCGTGCCCGCCAACGGTTTGAATTGTCGTCTGGTGTTGGATCGTACCGATTGCGTTGGCCAAACCGTATTTCCCACAGTCGAATGGTTGCGGGTATTTAAATTTTCTTATCGATAATTCCCATAGTTGCATTTGCACTGTGACTATTATTAGTTAACATGTTCGGCAAATTATTGTAACTATTGATCGAAACGATACGACGATATTCGGAACGGAAATTTGAACATGTTTGTATTGGAAAATGATCGCAATATGATTGCGGCCGGTATGGGAAGGCACTGCGTTATTTTCCTAGTTTGTGGCAAATTTATCGCCGCCACGATAATTATTTACCGTATTTTGTTACAATTATTATATTACTGTCCAAGCTGTTATCGGATCCCGGCACGAACTCGTGGCCCGTCTCGGTTACCGTTATAGTATCTAAATTTTTTGTTTGACTCGAGAATAAACCGACTGCGTGGCGTATTGTTACGCGAAAATAAATAGGCGAACGATATTTCAATCATCGGCGTCGGCCAATTTTTCAATTCGGCGTAAAATTCCAACGACGGTCCGCACGCCATTCCGGCGACTGGTAAATTTCCGATATCTTTCGTCGGTGGTCGCTCGTCCTCGCGTTGGCCAACGACGGAAATCGGTCGGAATATCTGACCGCACGTTTCAGAGAGCGGTGTGTGGCATTTTTCGCCGACAAAAAAAATTCTACAAAGCGGCCGCATTTTAACCCAGGCGCCGTTGGTTTTTCCTCGCGGACGATTCCGGCGACGTCCGGGCGGCACCGCCGTCGTCGACGGGATTCTCATCGCAAAATTTCATCGCGGAAACGGAAAACGCCCGGATTTCGGTTTCCCGTTTCAGTGGCAATATCAATTTGTGCGCGCGAAACGGTAAAACCGCTTAAAAACAAACGATGACAAACCGAAAAAAAATCACGGTATTCGGTCATTTCCTCCACCACCACATCCACCCCCACCCGGCACCAGAACCTCATACCGCGTTTTTTACGCGTCCGCCGACGAAAACGACGATAACGACAATTTTTACAACATTAAATCGTGTTTCGGGGGGGAAAAAATATAACGTGTCCCAGTTCCGAGAGAAAAATATACGCGGCATCTGTCGGCGACGTCGATTATTATAACCGAAGCGGGTATTTTCCGACGAACCGTATTTGACAGAGTGTTACATCCGGGGATTCGTTATTTCTGTTTATCCGTCGGGAAATTTGTTGCCCGGAATATTTTATTATACCCACGCGCGTCGGAAACCAGAAAAGGTAAAATGGTTTCATTTTCGACCGATTCGATATTGCCGGGCGATTCGTTTGAGCGGGCACGCCTCGTTACGTGTGAAAGCATTGAATTATTCCGGAATTTATTTCTAGAACATTTGAGAAACAAGCTGCTCCGCAATTTTGTGTTTGCGTTATTTTCGGGAGGGGGGGGGGGTAAAACAACTGCCTACCTTTGATTTTGAAACGGCGACCTATATTTAAAAAAAAGTCCATAAATAGATTGGGTATTGGCCGAAACAATCGTTGGTGTTGACATTTTCGATTTCCGTTGACGGGACATACCGTTTTTATTTAATTTTAGGTTAGCGGAGAGTGTAGTGGTGCATTATTAACGGGGCCGCCGCACTGATGACGCTCCACTACTCTCGTCCGACCCACAGTTAAAAGTGGAACGTCTCGCAAACGGATCGACGGAAAATCGGAAAATGCCACCACCAGCAATTATTCCGGCCGACATCCGGATCTATTTATGGAATCGTCGGTACAGGTCGCCGTGCGAAAATCAAACGTGGGCGGTGGTTTTCACCCCCGCGAAAATAAGAGTGACGGGAAAACCGCACGAATATCGAATCGTCGAGCGGGGCCCGTTTGCCGGGACATTTTTGACAAACGGAATTCCGGAAGGAGTTTCGAGCTCGACCCCGGGACGCACCGAGATGCACCCACCCGCTGCTTAAATGAAAATCGCCCGGTACATCGGGAAAATAAAACGTTTCGTGGTTTTCGCGCCCGGGCCGTGTAACGGGAACGTCGGTCCGTATTGGTAAAATACGTTTTTACGTGACATTTTGCGACCTCGCGGGGTCTGTCACTGTGTGATGCGCGGCGCGCGTTACGCGACGGCGCGCCCCGAAACCCGAACCGGCCGTCCGAATTTGACGGTCAAATCGATCGGATCGCCGTTTTACCCGGTACCCCGCGGACGCGCGTGCGACCGCCGTTGTCGTAAAGGCACCACCCTCGCGCACGTTAAGGCCGGCCCACGAACACGATCATACAATTTGAGCGACCGCTATGTTTGTGCAGACATTGTGCCGAATTTTATTTATTCTTTTTCAAACGCTAACTAAATTATTAATATTTATCATTGTTGTTATTATTTCTAACAACTCTCCAAACGTATCTGCATCCATTCCAAGATAGTTTTGGGATAGTCTACTACTGAACTCATTTCGAGTTCTGATACTAACCGTTTCGCACGAGCCGTTTGAACGTGTGTTTGCGCAAACATAGTGGTCGCGCAAAATGTTCGATCGTGTATGGGGGGGGGGCCTTTGCGTGACGCGGACTTGATACCGGCGTGATGTCACGGGAACGTTTCGCGCGGCGCGCGGTCGTCGTTTATCATCGGCGCGCATCGAAAACGGACCCGTTCGGATTGAAAATAATTGACAACAATTATCGACGGGATTTTCTTATCGTTAATTGAACGCGATAACGTACGGGCCCGCAAAACGCAACGCGACGTGGCCGCCGGCCGATAACGCAACGCAGCGTCGCGAATAATTATCAATTGCGAGGTTTTAAATTTGTATTTTGTCTTTCATCTCTCCGTTCCCGTTTGTTCCCGTAGCGGCGCGACAATCGATTATTCTTCCCGAACGACCGGCACGCGATATTGAACCGTCGCGTTGGGTATTTGAAATGTCGTTTCACCGCGTGTCGGACAAACAGAGACCGCGAAAAATATTCCGCGATTCCGCAACACGATTGGGAGGCACCTGTAACAAAATAATACCGACGGTTTCGACCGAATCCCGTTTTCACAACGATATATTACGCGTGTCGATGAAATCGCATTGTACCGATTATGCCGAGACCCGATTTTCCGCGATTGGCATTTCGTTCGTTCGAGCGTTTTAATTTTTAACGAAAAAATACAAAAAAAAAAAACGATAATAAAATAATTTCGGTTGTTCGGCGTCCGAACGGGAACAATTTCAACCGAACGAGAACTCGCCGTCAACCCGGTGCCGATTTACAAATCCGTTTCAATCGTTGTTTGTTTTTTTTTCCTCTGTTTGACACGTTGTGTAGAGGCAATGGCTAATGCCTCGGTACCGTTGGACAATATTATCGTCTACGGTACGGTCTGTATTTGACGACGGTTTGTGTGTAATGCTCGGTAATTGATAGTAACAACAATTATTGTTAATAGTTGACGTCCCGGTCGATTGCGGTTATAATTTCATTAGTTTTAATTATAATTGTTGGTCGATGAAACATAATTCGTAATGATCGATATGGGCAACCAACACGCGCCGCGGGACGTACGATTTTATGCCAGAATATTACACTTCGGGTAGGGAAATTCTTTACGCGTTGTAACAAACGAACGAAAATCGCACGAATCGCAATAAAACCGACTCGTTTCGCTGGGAACCTAGGAAAAAAAAAAAAAAAAAAAGTTGAATTCGATCGTCTTAAAAAGAACACGCGGTAGGTTCCCAACTGTGTCGCGTAAATCTTTTTTCCTTTTTTTTTTTTCTCCCCGAATTTCGTTCACAGACAAATATAAACGTATTTTTACACTTTTTTTTCGTTAAGAACACGACAATGTAATACAAATACCAGCTGCTAATCTGTCCGATACCTAATGTATAAATAATACTCGCTACGGAGATTTCGATGGTTTCGTTTAAACACGTTATTAATAAATAATGTCTGTACACACACAAGGTATACAAATATTAAAACAGGCGTAAAATAACGCGGTGCTATAGGCGCTGCCAGTATATTATTGATACCTATGGACTGTGGTTTAATTAGATTATTTTCGCTATCAGGAATTGAACATCAAGTAGCATATGTTTTGTCTTTTTAATGGCGCTCGGGGAGCTAAGCTTTTTGAATTTTCTTTGTAGTTTTACCAATAATGTCAGACGACTGGCGACGAAACACGTTTCTGTCACCTATTTTCGACATCGATTTAATGAAACGATAAAATGTCCAACCGAATTTCGCTCAGAATCGTTTTTGGTTTTCAACGATTTGCCGCTATTCGAATAACTGCTACCGTAAAAACGATTCGAAAAATCGAGAAGTTCATTCACGCGGCGATTTTATTTATTTTTTCCTAGCCATTGAATTTCTTTTAACTCTTTTCTTTTATCTCTTTTCTGTTCAATGCGTTTAAATAAAATTAATTTTCATTTCATTTGATTTATGGGAAAAATGGAACGTTGTTCTTGTATCTTACGAGACATATTATTGAAAGTTAGCAAACTGTTCGTCCATATTTAACGAAATATTTTAAAAATTGACGTGAACAACACGACAAATAATATTTCGAACGGGAACCTTCGACTTGGCACGTCGAACTATCTGAACGTTCAAATCGTGTGATTTATTTAAATTCAGTATTAGTGGCTCTATCTAGGCATGTCATGCGTCGTCATATTATTATAATTACTATTTATCAAAACTTAACAACATTTTATTTTACACATTTCATGTGCGTTTAAATTTATCGTTTTAAACTATTTAAATAATATTATCAATTCAGTTTTTTTTTTTTTCAGAAAACATTCATAATATATATGAATTAGAAGATCTTTTTACTTTAAATATTAAATAATATAATATAGGACGTGTTTTATGTACTTATTTATATTTAATTGAAACTTGAACGATACCTATTAAATCATTAGAAATCGTATAAAAATAGGTACCTATATGACATCGTCTTAAACTTAAACCTTTTTCCATTTGCATACTTTGCAATATATAATTTTGCACTTTACACAACTTCTATGGATTTTTTCCTATCACACAATAATTGCCCAAAAGACAAAAGTCCGGTTAATCCCGGTTTCGTTACTGAGTACTCAAGTTACAACTATAATGGTATATTTTTGTACATTATTATAAACAAAAAGTCATAAAAAAGACGTCCTAGGACAATAGGGACGGGTGCAGCCACTGTTATGGATAATTTAATGAATACCTGTAAGCAAAGATGTAAACCATTGCTTATGAAAAAAACGATTCTGAGCGGAATTCAGTTGATAGTGATGCTTTGTCAAAAATATATATGTCATTTTATAGTAAAATAATTAAATAGGCTTTGTATATTTTCTTTAATTATATTTATTTCATGTTGTACCGATTTTCCCAGTTTTCCTACATTTTTCCCATGTTTTATCCCGGTTTTTCACATTTGCTGGGAAAACTCTTAAGAAAATCAAAAAAATGACCTGCTTAAAATACGTACCCACATCGATTCGCTTTCAGAAAAGGTGGTACACGTAGAAATCCGAGCTAGTCTTCTGGTAGAAAAGTTGCACACAGATAAAAAAAAAAATAAACATCTTTGTAAAACTATAAGCTTCTTCGCTCCACTCAGAATTTATATCACTGCAGAACTAAACTGTTTTGATACTTTCTTTTTAATTTTCAAGTACCTACCTACGTGTGTTCTGAGTGCAGATGACCCGAGTTCGTCAAGTCACTAACCGACATTTGCCTACTAGGTACCCAGTTCTGGTCCCACTACCCGTTAGAATAAATTTTCAGTGCATAACCGTACTGACTAACGGTGTTTTTTTTTTAAATCGAGTTATTAGTTCGTTACCTTTCTACACAAAAGAAAAATGTTTATTATGATCCGTCATACCTATAACTACAGTAATTGAACAATAAATTCGACTTGATTACGGGTCGTCGAAATAATATAAACGTCGTCACTCGTCACGTTATTAATTTCATATCTTTTAACACATTTTAATAAATTTCTGTTACATATTAGTTATTTTTTCGTTTTCTAGTATATAGACTACTTAATGATATTATCATACATAAAATATTGATACTTATATCAAATCTACAGGCCGTTTGTTTTTCAGATTAAATTAGGGTGACCATACGTCCTGTTTGATGCAGGATTGTTCTAATTTCGACTGCGTGTCCTGTGGTACTGACGAACTCCTTTCGGGACGCTTTTTGTCCTGTTTTATATGTCTGAGTTTTATTCCGTATTAATAATTCTGGGTATAAATATTTTAAAATTTTTTAACTCGCAGATTAAAATTTATTTTAATTTTTTATTGATATAAATTTGTTGACGAAAGTATTCGTTATAGATGAAAAATAATAACCACACGAATCGATACCGGTGGTAATACATCGTAAGATATACGGGTTTATTTAAAATAGTTCATAATGTAGGCATAATTTATTATGAAAAATTAACAAAAACACCTATAATAATTAATTAATATGACTTTGAATGTATTATTGAAATTATTTCGTCCTGTTCTTGATTTTTTTAAATATTGTCACCTTATATTACTAAATAGATAACCACCTATACAATGTGAGTACTTATTAAATTTGATATATAAATATTTTTTTTTTTTTTTTTAACGAAGAATTCGGTCGGTGTTGTATACCGACCTAATAATAATACTTGTTTTGTTTTGTTTTTTATTTTTTTTTTACCTATGTTACTATTTTACTATAACAACTAACGAGGTGTAACGGAGTTATTGAGTACCGTTGACCTTATAATGTCGAAACAAATAAAAAAGTGGCACGTACACAAGGTAACTTTTTTTTTACTTGCTTAATTATTGTTTATTTACTTGTGCGCGATTTTTATATTATGCTCAATGTACTGATGCATTGTGTATTTTTTTCATAGCTGTCTTTTTTTTTTATCAGTCTTTTATCAGTAATGATTAGATCGGTTGGATCCAAACGATTTAACAATCCCATTAAAAACGCATGTAATATCTTTTTGTAGTCGTTGTACCAAAATACGAGTGCTTACAAACTAAGATTTTACGATTATCAAATACGAGACACTCAAACGAGTTTTTCACTTATAAAATAACACATTTAACTACTTAATGTATAGAATATATGATTGCTTTGTAATGCATAATGTTACATTGCATCAATTATTTACATGCTATTTTGTTTTTGTGTGTAATCGTGATACTGATAAGGATTATTACCACACAATACCATGATGTTAGACTAATCGCGTTTACAAACGAGTTGTTTGGAACATTGTCGTCAAAAACGCTATCGGAATTCCTCGAATACCTTTCGTTCGGTTCCCGGTGTTTAAATAACATCGTAGCAACGTGTTATTTTTTTTTATTTTTTTTTCCCGAAAAAACCAAACACGGTGTTCAGTCGGGTTTATTATTATTCCAAATCCGAACGAAAAAAAATGAGTAAACAACGTGGACGACACACACTCGAACACATACACGCCGACGACAGTGTACATGTTAGAAGATAACATTTAAACAAATATTATTTCACATTTAAGGATAATATTTTTTTTCAAATTTGAAATTCTGGACTTTATCGAAAAAGCTACCCGTTATCATAGTTTTGCCGAGACGCGCGCTTTTCGGTTAGGTAAAAAAATGCTCCGGTGTTTTCATACCGTCGGCGGTTGGTAATGGGTAGGGCTCGGATTTTTACCCATTACCCATTACTAATGGATAATAGGTATTACATTAGACTTTTTGAAGTATTCAACACGATTCCGTACAGTTCTCCGGGCCCACTGGGTTGTCTTTTTTTCATCGGACGTTATCGATTTCGCGGTTACCATTTTGGCAACCAGGGCGACAAAACACGGCTATATAACACCGCGGTGAAAATTATGATTGATGTTATTAGCGCATACCAAATACAAGCCGGGAGATATTCCAGACGCGCTATAATGTTGGATTAATACGTTTGGGGCTTTTTATAATTTTAAAAGCATAACATAAAAGATATTTCGTTTTGGAAACGATTTCCAGTTCGCGTGCTGCGGTTTTGGGCGAATAACGCGATTTGCGTGTAATTGTTTTTTTTTTTTTTTCCGCGGTTTAAATTATCGCTGAACGAAAAACGACATGAGCGTAAATCATCTGGAATGTATAGGCACGGGACAAATAAAATCGATCCCGTAGCACACGGAGAGAAAATCAATATTGACAAAGTTGTCAGTGGCGAAACGTTTGGATTCACATGATGTTGATAAATTCTTGAAAACCTAACCGATTGAATACTGTCTATACCTACACGTCTAATACTTTGGGTTTTCCACGTGGTGATCAACCCATCACAAGACACTCGTTGTCACGGAATATGTTTACTTTTACCGGAATATGTTTTCTAGAATATTTAAGAAACAAGCCGCTCTACAATTTTATATTCGTGTCAGTTTTTGTCACTATTATTTTCAAGGGTGAAACCGTAGCGGTTTTCGATTTTCAAGTGTTACATCGTGTTCTTTCTCCGCGCTTAAATTTTTCTCGTCTTTTTTTTTTGGAAACGAGGAATCCATCGGTTTTACGACGACGTGCGTTTTAACACATTTTAAACGGTTCCGTTTTATATCGGCCGTTCCGTCTTCCCTCCTGAAACGACCACGCCCGTCAGCGGTCACGGATCCTTTAGATTCTGTGCGGTACGAGGAGAACGCGCGGGGTTTTTCCACCCCTAGATCCGTCGGGGGCACACCGTCCGCTGTCTCAATGCTTTTGGAACGTAATCATATTGCGATGGTTTTCCGCACGTTATTACCGGCGAAATGTCCCGGGCGAAAGAGAGGTTGAAAATTGTAAATCGAATAGATATTTGTTTTTTTTATTTTATCATCGAAAAATTGTGATTCCGCGTACGGTCGTTTTCGTTGAACGAAAAAAACAACTAATTTGTTCGACGTGAAATTATTACCGTCCGCGAATTAGGTGTCGTGTTGCGTCTAAATGGCCGACCGCCGTGCGGCGCGTTCTTTGAAAAATACGCCGACCAGAACTCAGAAGTCCAGAACGAGAAACGTCATTTCAGCTAACGACGCATATTATTTCTCACGGAAAACGAACCGTAAAATATCGCGAAACGTCGTCGTTTCCCCCGGTGCCCGTTGATTACATTATGGACAACTGGACGCCGGCGGTTGTGTTACGAGCGGTCGTTTTTCCGAAATATTACAATACTCGGTTCGTCTCATTCGGGGGGGGGGAAGGGGGTAAAAACGAAACATACGCACTCATTTTTAACGTGCCCACCGAATAGGAATACGATAAATTTACAATTTATTCCGCGTTATTTCTCGCCCCGTAATTCCGACAGAAATCGCGTTTTAGACGGGTCCGTTTTAGCGCGTTTGTTATTTTTGACGACCACCGAAATATTACGTCTCTTTTTTTTTTAATTATATTCCAGTCGTTCAGCTGTTCGTATCTATTCGAAACTTTGATTTCATCGCCAGACACTCATAATAATAACTCGTAATATCGAATAGTATCGAACGTGTAATACGAACATTTCTTTTTTCTCGCAAATTCTAAACGAAAACGACGATTTATCGACGCGTTTGGGATCCGAGTTGTATTTACTCTCCTCCTAGTGACTCCTATCGTTCCGAAATTTCCGTCCTGCATCTAATAAAGCGGCCAGTGGCGTGGATGATAGGGGTTATATTCTCCCCCTCTCCCATTGACTTAAAAATACAACAAAACACGAGTAATCTAATATCGAAACTCATGATTTTCGGCAGATTTCCGAGAAAAAACTTGATGTATTGATTAGAATTTTGGTCCTTTTTTTTTTTTTAGGATCCGGCTTTTAAATTACCAATTCCCATAGTCGAGTTGGATAGAGAAGACGAATTTTATTTGTTGCATCCCCTCCCATTGAAAATCCCTGGGTACGCCACTGACAGCAGCCTGTTTCTAGCCGCATGATTACGGATAAAAACGTCGTTTTCCTAAATAAATTGAAGCCCCGGGCCCACGTCGAAATAACGTTTTGTGACGGAACACCACGGTATTCGGTTTTACGCCGTCGTCCCACGCCCAAATCATTGATTTACTCGTCTTGCGCCGAACCCCGCGGCCCGCACCGTCATTTCACCACGCGCACGCACCACTGAGCCCACACACATATCTAGAGAGAAAGAGGAGAGAGGCGCCCACCATTTTCGGTTTGGTGGCGTCGGCGGCGGCCGCTGGCCGAACAGCGTTCGTCAGTCGCTAAACCGCGTAAGGGGAACTCGGTGCGGCGGCGGCGGCGGCGGCGGCGACGACCCGGCGACCGTTGCAACCGTCTTCGTTCCAGGCGATTCTCTCGGGTGCACACACATACGCGCGTACACACGCACACGCACACAACAACTCTCATGAGCAAACACGAAAACGGCTCGCCGGCCAACCATAATCGTCCGTCTCCACTCTCCTCACTCTTTCACCGTCCATTGTTTTTCGTCTTCGCCGACGCCGACGCCGCACTCCGCACTCCGCACTCCGCGCCCGTGCCGACGGGGTTGCCGGGCAACCGGTACGGCCGCGCGGTCGGCGGCGGAGCGCGGGGTCAGCCGGCCGGCGGCTGCGGCGAGCGCGTACATCACGGTCTCACGGCGACGACGCGAACGCGGGCGCACAACGGAACGAACGAGGTCGACAACGAAATGTAGGCTTATCATCAGTTCCCGCTTTGTGCCGGCCGTTCAAATTGTCCGTTCCTCCTTGTTTGGAAACTCCGTGTAAGTAAAGTATGTAAAAGCGCGTCCGCCGTTGCCGCCGCCGCCGCCGCGTGTATAGACATTCTTTCTTCCTTTTTTTTTTTTTCCCCTCGTTTATTTATTTTTCATTTTTTTTTCTCTCGCAACCGTCGCGCGCGTCGACCGCGTGCGTGCGCGTTATTTTATTTTTCGAACACTTCCCCCATTCCCCCATCCCCCCCCCGTCTTTACAATCGCTGTTGACGTGCGCACCCATCCGTGGTTATCGCGGCACATCACTCGGATAGTAGGTACACCTTACCATTTATACCCGCCATAAAACGCACTGCTTGGCGTCGTCGGCCGTTTCGCTACAGTTTCCGCCGACCGAAGTACTGCAACAATAATAACAACAATTACGATATTAAAATTGTGTGCCGGCGCCGCGTGTTCGTTTTGGACGCCGGTCCGGTCGTTTCCTATTTCCCCTCCCCCCCGCGTTCCCCGCCCGTTTCGCAACGTTGTTTTAATAGCGGACAAATATTGCTAATCGGCGAATATTTCGCTCCCGGAGATTTCGCGTCCCGTTCCGTTTCTCGACCGCCCCGCCGCCGCCGCCACCGCCTTTCCGTTTCGGACGGGCGGCGGCGCGGATTCCTCCGCCGCTGCGACCCGTGGCCATGCGCGATGGCCCGCTCGCCCCCCCCCCGCCCGCTGTCCTTTCCCGCGGGTCGGTTCTTCTCAAAAATCGATCGAGCTCTCGTCGCCCCTTAATAATTCATTATACACCCGACCCGGGGCGGGTCCGCCGTTTTCGCAGGACGCGCCCGTTTCCCCGGGCGCCTAAACGCGCGAATTATAATTCATAATTGGATATAAACGGATCGTTTTCAATAATTACACACGGTTTATAAACCGCGGCTGTATAATTCTGTACAATTCTAAAATCCGGACCTTTTATCAGTAACCCGGCGCGTTTGGTTTTCTTCTGGGGTTAAAAAATGAACCGATTTGTCATCGTGGCGTGTCTGTAACGAAATGCGACTTTTCCAATAACATTCGCAACGTTTCTTCGGTTTGTGGGGGGAGGGGGAGTTGGCTAAATCGCGTTTTTCACAAAACTGTATAACCCCCCCCCTCTCCCCTAGAAAGCCGCCACTTCCGTGCGGTCGGCCATAATCTTTCGTCGTCCGCAACAAACGTGTAACATTCGTACTCGGTCGGAAAACGTTTTTCATCTTTCTGAAATCTTGCCGTACGACCGAATACAATTTCCCCCCCCCCATTCTCCCTTCAATATAAAATAATTCATTATATCGCATTATGCCGACAATAATATTGCCGTGTCCCGCTGAAAATCTTGTACGTTGTGAAATATGAAAACGATAACGCCGCGATTATTTTTTTTTTTATTACCCATCGTGCCTGTTAAACCGAGATAAAATTGTACCGATTGTTATCGACGTGTTTCGCTCGTTTCAGTTTAATTTAAATAATCCGCGGTTTTTTTCCCAACATTACGGACCGCGTAGGCCTTTTGCTGTTGTCGACTTTGCTCTTCTCCGTTTTGCGCGCGCGTTGTTATTACGTGAAAAAAAAAAAAAAATAAATAAATAATAATAATTACAGCTGGCGATGTTATCGTGTCATAAAATGTATTTATAATTAGAGTTCCCACACGACGTTTTATTTATCTTACATCGGTAATTATAAGTTATCTTGGAAATTTTATCACGGACATTTTTGTTATTATAAAAATCTATATTCGGAAATATAAACAGATTGCGATTGTGTGTTTTAATAACTTTATGATTATAATTAGGTGTTTGTTTTTTTTTTTTCTCTTACGAAATACCGACCATTCGATTAAATTACGTTCGTTTATAAAACTTGCCGCACACCAAATAACGTTAAATCATTTTCAGTAACATATAACAATGTCGACGTATTGTGGCGGTCGCCTCATTTGGGTGGGTTTTTCGGGTGGTAACTATAGTATTGATTTTTAGAACGAAGTGTATTTTAACGTACTTAGGTACAACCGAAATATATTCGCTGGTTTGTTTATGGCGAATTGTTATCGAACGAAATATACATATTACCGAAAAGAAAAAAAACTAATGCTAATTAAAAATAAAATAAAAATTAATCGAATAAACGTACCTATATTTTTTTATTAAATTAAATTTTCTATGGAACGGTATGTTTTTGATTCTGATGTGTATTATAAACACACGTTGTTATTTATAATTGTGTAAGTTTACGAATTGAATCAAATAACATTCCATTTTGGACTAGTAGTTATTTTTTTTTTTCAGAAATAAATTGTGTAGGTATTATATTTGTATAATTTTATTTAAGAGAAATACACGGGATTGATTAGAAAATTATTAGTTATTTAATTAAATTTATATTTTTTAGTTACATACGCCTTATTTTAGCAAAAACTTGATAGTTACATTTTTAATAAAATAAATATCATAAATTATTAAAGATTTACTATTTACAAGTTCAGAGGAATTTAAAAAAGTTTTAATATAATGTTTTTTTTCACAACTGTCAATTGTTTTACACTATTTATTTAAAAATAATACCTATTAATTTTATAAATTTATACAATTTTCATACACACCTATTTAATCCTTAATTTGGTTTTTAAACATAATATCTTCACGGTACAAATGTATTATTAATAATTCTAATAACTACCTAATATTAGGTTTGAAAATTGTGCGTATTCATGTTTTGTGTTACTGAACATATCATTATCAACATTATTTTGATGAAATTTAATAAATACGTTAATTTTATTTGATAAATAAATTAAAAATAATACTATAAGATAAAATAAAATGTTAATAACGAGTAACGATAAATAATAATATACCGTATGTATACAGATTATTCCTGTAGTTATTAAATAAGTCAATTTCAAATGTAATTACATAAATAAATAATATTAAAATTTATTTTTTAATATTTCAGAGGTACAATGACAGTTAACGGCCAGCATTACTGTCTGCGTTGGAACAATTACCAATCGAACATGACCTCTGTATTTCATCAACTTCTCCGGAATGAGTCTTTTGTTGATGTCACACTTGCTTGTAATGAGAGCACACTTAAAGCACATAAAGTAAAGCATTACCAACTATATTTATTGTTGTATACGTTTTAATATTGTGTTTATTATTATATTATAGGTAGTCTTATCGGCTTGTTCCTCATACTTCCAAAAACTATTAATGGATAATCCATGTAAACATCCGACCATTATACTACCATATGATGTTTGTTTCAATGATCTCAAGTTTATTATTGAATTTGTATACAGGGGTGAAATTGATGTGTCTCAAGCTGAATTACAAGTAGGTTTTACGCTAACTCTTATAGTGTACAATATTAAAATAATGTCCTATTATACTTTCAGTCTCTTCTAAAAACAGCAGACCAATTAAAGATAAAAGGATTATGTGAAGTGCCCGAAGACGAGCGTGATACGTCTATTGTTGCTGAAGTAACTCCTCTGGGGCCGTTAAAAAGTGGAGGACGGGTGTTTACCAAATTACAACGTAGAACTTCACCGTATTCAAAAAAATTAAGTCCCAATCACATTCAACAAGATCAGTTTAATCGTAATTATTATCGTATTGAACAATCGGGTTTTGCGCCTATCAATGTTGATCAAGAAAATAAATCTATGAATGTAATAAATATTATGATGAAATCAATGAGATTTTATTTTTTATTTGATTGTTTTAATATTATGATTATTGTTTTCAATTTAGTCGATTCATTGCATGACTGTAGCTACATCAACTGAAGACGATGAGAAAGATATGAAATCAACCCTGACAGATTTACCAGTTGTTATATTGGAACCTCATCCTACCATAAGTTTACATACTCAACAGCAGCCTCAGATAGTTCATATACCAATACCCCAACAACAACAATTAAACCATGTTACTCAACATACAAACCAACCGCAGCTGCAACGAGCTGCAGTTCAAACTCATTCACAGGTTGAATACTAATATGTACCTATATATTATATATTTTTAGTCTTAGTAAATTGTATTAACTCTAAAATTATTTTTAGATGATAATTACAACAGGTCCAGTTATGACAGTTAATGAAGCAGATATTACCCCTGATTTACAGCCTGTCGGTCCTAGGGCAACACCAGTACCAGTAAAAAATAACCCTAGCCCTTCATCAACACCTACACATAGAGATATAGCTGGTAATGGGTTAAACAAATATTTAGATATTTTAATTTTAAATTATAATTGTAGGAATAAAATTATATAATATTGTATAGAACAAAAACAAAATCATTATTATACTCTGTCCCACGAGAGACCATGTCGTGGCTCTGTGCATCCTACCATTATCGGCGGCGACATTTGAATGCATGGATGGGATACAATGGCCTGGTTGGTCGAAGAAACGATGCGCAGATCTGGCATGCTCTCTCGTGGGATAGAGTATAGATTTATTAATACATTTAATCAAAGCATATGTATTAATACCATAATATTAATATTTTTATCAATACAGAAAATATATATAAATTCAATAATGGAATACAATATTGCAGCATCCCCTTAAAGCATAGCTTGTGTTGGGGCAGCTAGTTTTTATCACTTTAAAAGTACACATAACCTAAAAACAATTAGTTGTTTATAATAATATTATCTATAGCAAGATAATCTATTAATTTTATTAATAACGCTAAACATAGAATTAATTTTAGCTTATTTTTACAAAACTAAGCGTACACTACTTAAAATTTGCCTCATAGGACAAGCTATCAATTGTCCAGTCAAAAAATAAAATATCCTTATAATCAACAAGGTTTATTAGTTCAGTATTAATATTTGTTTTTATTGTTTTTATTAGTATTTCAAATATGTTTTAAAGTATTTTAAATATTCAAATTAATTAATATTAATATTTAAAAAACTATATAAATCAAGATAGAATACTTTCTTGTCTCAGAATTTTTAAGACACTTCATTAAACGAATGTTAATATTTCCCTTATCTAGTGTTATGTTCATGACCTGATAGGCATTAAATGTTCATGTTTATACAAATCTAATTATACAGATAGATTATAAACAATCCTAAAATTCTTAACATTAAATTTTTCGTAAATAAAAATAGTGCTAATTTGCCCAAAAAGATTTAGTAAATGTTTAATAACACATTTTATTGTAACATTCGGCCTAAAAATAAGGTTATTAATAGTTCCTCCCCAAATGGATATACCATAAGAGAAGATCGGTTGAACTAAAGCTAAATAAATAACGTTTAGGAGATGTATCTAATATTATATACCTGGCTTCATTAAATATATAGAAAAATATACGTAAAATGCCATTAATATAATTGATATGACTGTTTTATTTAAATCTATAAACAATTATTAGGTCAAGATACTTTAATTCATTAACATTTTCAAGTTTAACAAATTTTGGATCACAATTTGTATTTAAATTAAGATTAAATTTTAGCAAATGGACAATCAAATTATGTCTATTTAAGTTATAATAGCAGGTAGATTAAAAAAATAAATATACATTTTAGTACATTTAATTTAATTTTTATAAAACCAAGTGCTCACGTTATTTAAAATCCCATTTGCCTCATTGTACAAGTTATCAGTTGTCGGTTCAGAAAATAAAATAGGCTTATCATCAACAAAGCTTATTAGTTCAGTATTAATATTTGTTTTTATATTTAATTAAATTAATTAAATAAACATAATTATCAACACAAGCTCAATAGTATATATAGCCTATAGAAATAATATTAGAAAAAATCATAAACAAAATAAAAAATAACTCACCAAATAATGTTAACTATTGTAGTTTGAAGTATCAAAATAATTTGTCTACCAAATTCGCAAAATTCTGAACAATAATACAAATAATGTAAAAATCTCTTTTAAGACTAATAATAATTTAATCAAACATAAACAACATAACTTAAAACTTCACAAAACAAAAATCCCCCTTCTTTTGAAAATGCTAGTATGTATAAACTTAAATGTAACTAATAAATTGTATATAGGTAAGACAAATAGAAATTTTAAAATAAGATATAAATAACACATTTCTGAAATAAAATTAAAAAAGACTATTCCTACTTCAAATTTTACTAAATATGTTTTAGAAAATAACCATAATATAAATTTTGATATTAATACAGACTTACAAATATTAAATACCCAAAATAAAATTAACATTAATTCAATTTTAAAAGAATTACACTTACATAATGAAATAAAGACAAATTATTTTAATATTATTTTAAATGTACAAACTAATTTTAAAAATAATATTTTATATCAATACATTTTAGATAATAAATAATAACCAAATTATTTATTTATCTTAACATATTTATGTCTATTAATAACTCATTTTAAATAATCTCGCCTATTAAATAAATTATTTATATGGAAAACGACCAATTTCTATAATTTTTTTCTGTGTATTCCTTCATATTTTTTTTCATATTCAATTGCGTTTTACTTTTTAACTTTGTGATTTACCTGATGATGATGATTTTTTAATTTGAAACTGGTACAATACACATATCATAATACTCCAGACAAGTCATTTATTTATTTGTTTATTTATTTCTACATATAAATTATTTATTTATATATTTTAATAAATTATTCATAAAAATTATTAAAATAATGAATCTAAGATTATTTCCTGCAGAAATCCATGAATTATATCTTTGGTTTTACCACAACAATCATCAATTTTTACAATTTAAGTTCTATCACTTAGCAACAATTTTAATAGTTTATTAGCCACTCCCAAAATACCTGAATATTCTTATTTTTTTAGCAATAGCTCATGATTAATACAATAAAGGCCTTTTGAAAATCTAAAAATACTCATAACTTTATAATTTATATCAATACATCTGTGAACAAAGTTATCCAACTTAAAAAGTGCATTAGTTGTTGACAAACCAGATCCAAAACCAAACTAAATAATTTTAGAAGGATTTTTTTTCTAAAAAATTTAGTAAATAATTTTTGATACATTTTTCAGAAATTATAGACAAAGTTAATGATAGTGAGATTGGTCTATAATTTTCACATGTTAACTTATATGTTTTAAACGCTAAATGATAAATGCCTATTAATAAAGATTTATTACAAATTAACAATAATGCAATTTTCTGAAGAATGTAATTTGTTAAATCATATTCATAAAAATAATTTTAATTTTAATTTCATCATTGATGACTAATTGGATTAAGAAATATGCTGTTTTTGTTATTTTTTACATTTTTAAATTCAAATTTATCTTCAATTATATGTTATTTCTAAATTATTTCCTATATTAACAAAAAAATCATTTAGTTTATCACAAATTTTATTGTATGTTTGAGATTTTGATACTCTGATTATATATATTAAAAATTGTTTTAAAAAACATGACTTAGAATGTATTTTTTTAAGTTATATTTACGTAACCACTTAGTTTTGGTATATTACCATCATCAGATTACTGATACGTACATACAATGTATATATATATATATGTAATTAATCAAAAACAATGTTATAAGTAACCTGATGATGGTAATATGTCGAAACAAATTTTAGTTTTAAATTCAATGATAACATATTTATTTACAATCTTATCAATATTATTTTTATATTTGCTCGGTTTACCTGTGATCTCATTTATAAAATTCCAATCCTGTTTACTGTCAGATTTGGTTAATTTCAATATATTTCAGTAAATTTGTTTTAATTTTCTCATCAATAAATTTAACATATTTCTTTATAAATTATAAATGTCTTAAATTTTAAATTGAAAGGCCTAGACCTCAGCTTAGAAAATAGTTTTTTTTAGTAATAATGCCAGTTGTGATCCACACATAGATTTTATAACTTTTTTGGTTTGTCTTTAATTATAGAGATAAAGGAATGGTTAATAAATTCTTTTATTTTGGAATTAAAAATGTCAACCATATAGTGTCTATATTTAAAGAATCTAAACAAGAATGCTAGTTTTTAATTTTAATCAATAAATCTAAGTGATTTATATTTATTTTGCTAATAGTAGGTACATAACATAGGTACATAATATTATATTTGGATTTGAATTATCTTATTCAACAAATAAATTTAAAAATATGTTGTATTCAATATGTTAAGTAACTTATATTTCTTCTTAAAAATTAAAAATTAATTTCCATTTTAGTTGGTACATCATGTTCAAATGATGTGATGAGAAGTGATGGAAGTGAAGTGAAGTTTGAAAGTTCAAAATTTGAAACACTCCGAACCATTGATCAATCATCAGATGCAATTAGAATAGAAAGGCAGCATTCAAAGGATCGTGTAATAATAATTTATTATAAAATATGAATTTTAATTTGTTTTTTATTTTTTATTAATTTTAACAACTTGTATTTTGTAGAATATCAATGATGAAGATAGCTCAATGCACACAATGATGATAACGCCAGAACTGTTAGGATTATTACCAAATTCTTCTAATACAGGAGGTATATAATAATATTAAATGTATTTGTCTTCTATTACTTAATTCACACTTACCCAAATGCATTATAAAATTACAGATACCAGTGAAGATGGTTCTAGTAACAATATAAACAAACAATATGGTGTGAATGGCAGTAAAGGATGGACGGCTGATGACATGGAGAACGCCTTAGAAGCATTACGTTCGCATAATATGTCTTTGACTAAAGCATCCATCACATTTGGAATTCCTTCTACAACATTATGGCAACGTGCTCATAGAGCTGGAATAGATACTCCTAAAAAAGATGGACCTGCTAAATCTTGGAATGATGAAGCATTAAATGTTGCATTGGATGCTTTGCGTACTGGTACTATTTCAGCAAATAAAGCCAGTAAGGCTTATGGCATTCCCAGTAGTACTCTGTATAAGATTGCGCGCCGGGAAGGTATTCGATTAGCTGCTCCCTTTAATGCAGCACCTACATCTTGGGGTCAGGAACAATTGGACCAAGCATTACACGCTATACGGACCGGGCAAACAACTGTGCAACGAGCTGCTTCTGACTTTGGCATACCTTCTGGTACACTCTATGGCCGGTGTAAACGTGAAAAAATTGAATTGTCCCGTAGTAATCCCACACCATGGTCTGAAGATGCTATGATGGAAGCTCTTGAATCTGTACGTTTAGGTCACATGAGCATTAATCAGGCTGCAATACATTACAATTTACCATATTCTTCATTATATGGTCGTTTTAAGAGGGTTAAATATGGAGCTGGACATCCAGATGATGATTGTGATGACATGATCGATTCAGACACACAAGGTGAACACATGCAACAACAACAGCAGCAGCAGCAACAACAACAACAACAACAACAACAACAATCAAATCAGCAAGTTCAGGCTACACCAGTGTCCCAAATTATGCTAGTTCAGTATCCTGCGCCACAAATTCAAATGTATCAACATCATCCAACTCATTCAACTAGTTGAGATGAAGTAAAATACTTGCAGCCATTGTGATGTGTTAGAACTGCAAGTATTTACTATAATTAAATGTGTAAGTCTGAGAGATTGTTCTTAATTTTCTTAATCTATCTGTGATATTTATACTAAAACTTAGTAAGCAGTTGTTATTTTATTGTTCTACTTGATCTCTTATTCTCTTGTAATGTTTTAAGTATAATATAATAGTTATAAGCTAATAATATAAATATTATAGTGTAGTAGTATAATATAGTATAATGATTTAAGCTATTACTTATATGTGGTCTATGGATTTTCTAATGTAGTATGTGGTCTACAAAATTCAAAAATAAACCGAAATATAAAAATATCATGTATTAACAGAAAAATTAATTTTTTGATCTCAATAAATACAATTTTAGTAACTAACAATTATTATATATATGCTAGTTGTTGAATAATACAAATGAATTGGAAATTTAGATAAGTATAGTAGACAGCATATTGAAATAGCCTAATTAGTAAATATACTAAATGTTTTAGTTTATGTATTGCATTTTTGATCCTCTAAACATAAAATAATAACTTTATTTATTCACTTAGAAAATTGTTAATATTAAATGCATTCATATTCGATTAATTGTTTCTTAGTAATAGCCATTTTAATTTCTAGAAAATAGGCGTGAACATAATTAATATTCAATCAATAGAAGGTAAAGATTTACCGTGCTGATTATAATTCCTTATCACCTAATTTGTTATTTTATTGAATATAAATTGTTCTCACGTCTAATTAAATGGTTATAATTAAGAAATTCTTCAACAGGTATGAATGTGTGATACATTGACATTTTTTAAATACAATTTTTTACATAATGGTTATTTTTAACATTTTTTAAGGTGAATAAATAAAGTTCTATTTTTTTGTCTTTTGAGGATGAAAATAAAAATTTAATTTTTCTTCATATCAATATCCCCCTTGAAGATGATAAACCAATTGAAAAAAAAAATATATACAATATTAACAGCACTAGAAAAATCCGTCAAACACGGTAGGACACACTGTATGTAAATATTTTACAAAATGTAGAGACTTCAAAGTTTACAATAAGAAAATTACTGTTTTTAATACGTCATCCTTCAAAAACAGAGTTTAAATTTTTGATCTGTGTTGGTTTTTTCATAAACAAGAACTGATAATTAATTTATCAATGACTATAATATTTACTACTATACTATTTTATATATTTAATTACTTTTAATAAATTTGATTGTAAATATTTAGTTTTATTTTATTTTACTGTATTAGAATTTAGATGAATTTTAAACAAAGGTTGAGTTCAGCACTTGTTCTAAATTTGTGTGTAATTACTAATTTATAATTTATGTAAATGTAAATTTTTTGATATTGAAAAATTTAACAACATATGTAATACATAGGTTTTATTTTTATTGATTTCTGGATTGCCTTTATAATGAAAAAAAAAACAACTAATACCATTATTATTACTATTCAGATCGGTGACAACAATCACTTGTTTAAATTAATGAAGTATATAAATTAAATTACTCTAATTAAGTATTCTACCAACTACCTATCTGTCAGTGAGAATTATCAAAATTTCTTTTATTAAACAAGTTAAGGTACTCTCTATATGAAAATGGTAATTTATTCTATGTATTTGATATTTCTCAAGTATGTAACACAGACTAAAAAAATAAGGATTGTTTTGACTGGAATCATTAATTTTATAACATAGAGTGATATAACATGCCATGAAAAGGCTTGTACCGTCTAATAAGCCTGGCGAGGAAATCAGTCTCCCCGGGTTCTCTAGGAACCCGCCGAGAGCCGACCGAGGAGTTAATCCTAGCCGGTGTTTTGGCTGCGGATTGCTCAGATTTCAATTCGAACAAGTAGTTCCTGGGATTAGCGCGTTCAACCAAACTAATAAACAAATTCTTCAGCTTTATGATATTAGTACAGATTACGAAATCAATGCTGAAACAATAAAATTATAACTGATTTTATTAAAAAACACAAGAAAAGATGGATTAATATCCGTAATGTAGTTTTATATAATCTTCACCAGAAAGAATGAGCTCATATCTATGAAAACCGTAATATTTCCTGACTGGTTATTGTTCAAGTACCTAAGTAGAACTAGTAAGTGTAAACATATTTATAGTATGAGAACGTTTTTAACAAAATATTACTTCGACTAGAGAATGTTGAACCTTTCACTTTACTGGTACGTTTAAAAGTTAATGATATTGAATTTATAGTAATTATAAATAATAATTAACATAATGATAATATGAATGACAAACACAATAATAATTAATAAAAGTTAGATGACCAAGTCCAAAATACTTTTATTTTAATCATCGTTTTGAAAGCGGTTTGATCAACAATATTTTCTATAATATTAATGTTTTCATTTCGATGAATATTTCAAAGTGATATACCAGTTAGCCTCTGCACAACATTCTTTTTTTACCGCTAAGCATGACTTTTAATGGACCTCATGTTAAATTCTCAAGCATTTCTGTTTGGTCTAATATTTTATGCACAAAGTACCTACCGAATGAAAATTACGTACAAAACTCGCTAAATTAAAATGTCTATAAATTATAATCTAGTCAATATGACAATATTTTTTGTGGTACACTTACATATTGAAGCAAAATCTCTGCTAGACATTTTTGTCACAGCCTAAAAAAAAAAAAAAAAACATTGTAAATCCAATAGGTACATTCTCGCTAAATTCAGAATCTACAATTTAAATTAAATTTATTATTTCCGATTTTGATTTCAAAAAAAAGTCCTAGGATAATGAGGACGGGTGTAGCCACTATTACAGATAATTCAATGAATACCTGTAAGCAATGACAAACCATTGCTCACGGAAAAACGATTCTGAGCAAAGTTCAGTTGATAGTGATGCTTTGTCAACAATATATATGTCATTTTATAGTAAAACAATTAAATAGGCTTTATATATTTTCTTTAATAATATTTGATTAATTTTGTACTGATTTTCCCAATTTTCCTACGTTTTTCCAGGTTTTTCATATTTATTGGGAAAATTCAATAGATAATCGAAAAACGACCTCTCTAAAGTACTTCTGTAGTGAAATTTCCTTTTAGAAACATGGCTATCATTAAAAGTTGGAAAAAAATTGCTGGTAGAAAAGTTATGCACAGGAAAAATAAATAGTAATATTTTAGTAATATATTTCGTACAGTTTCCCGTTTTTTTTTTAGATTTTTAAAATTTTATGAGAAAATCGAATAATGACCTATATTGTTAAAAAAGCACCACTATCAACTGAACTTCGCTTGAAACATTAAGAAATTTGTCATTTTTTAAAATCAGAGGCTGGAAAAACGTGTCTACCTCCTCCCGCAGTATTTCGGTAATAGCGAACGGCTTCGGGTTCATTTTTCTCCCGTTGTTGTGATATTATGCAAGCAATATGCCGAGATAAAACGCGCATAAAAAAATACGAAAACCGTTCTACCCTGCCCCGCCTCCCACCGCGCGGTAATACGTTCTGATAGATCGCGGAAGACGATGTGGCGCCGCGTCCCTGCGTCTCGATGCGCGCCCGGCCTTATCGTTGCCTACAGTGAGGGTGTGTTGTAATCAGAAATATGGTCAGCCCAACTATCTAAAATTGATTCACACGCGTAAGTTAATTATAAATTGAATTACCTTTCTCCTTCAGGCGGCAATTGATCTGTTGAATCTGATAAAGGTGACCGAAGTAAATAAAAAGATTTTAATGAACTAATTGTTTTTTTTTATTAATTTTTAATCGTGCAACACTGTTCTAGGTTCCCGTGCTTTTGTAAGAATCTCTGCGTAGTCTTTATACTCGCTTGTGATCATCTGTCCAAAAGGAACGGGAACAATACACGCACTGGCCTGATTAGAAGTGACCGGTCTACTTATGACTGGAGACCTATGTGTGCGTGCGTGTGTAAATGTGTTGCCTTAATCTGGTTAATGCTAACAACTTAACCTAACACTTTTAATGCTAACAACTTAACCTAACACTTAATGGCTATCAATTATTATAATTATTTTACATTTTATTTTAACTATATATGATAGCTTAAATAGCATATCATTACAATGAGTAAATATCGCATTAAGATATGTATTATTTGATAGAAAATATCCATATTGAATGTATATGTTTAATTTTCGTTCCTGTTATTAATTGTCCGATTTAACTCTTACATTGCATTACATTTTATTTACATTATACACGATAGCTTAAATAGCATATACATTACAGGTGTACATCAAAATCACCAATGGCAGTGGCTGCGCCCGTCCCCATTATCCCAATGACGTATTTTCGATGTTCAATAGGCATTCGAATAAACTGAACATTGCCGTCGCTTTGACCGCGACTTGGGCCGAAACAAACGGAAGAAACCAATCGAAAATCAATCCTGATTTGTCACGGCAAAACCGCGTATTTTGTTCCGCGGCACGGAGATGCACGGTATAGGTCGCATGTTAGGTCGCATATTAACTAGTCGTCCGCGGTTTTGCAGTTTGAAAACGGTTCCCGACGTTTTTGGAACAAGTGCCATTGCCCACGATCGAATTCTGTAATGCGATGACATATTATAATATATTATCGTTAGGGCTCCGAAGTTATCGGAGCTAATAAAAAAAAGGCAAAATATGCACGAACAAATTGTAAAATACGCATGAAAGAACGTTGAATATGCAAAAAAATGTGATAAATATACGAGAAATTATTCAAAAACATATAATGTCATTACTAATATGGACAAAAAAAAATGAAGATTTTAATACGAATTGCACCGTTGTCATTGGATTAATAATAATAGACTGAGACAGTGAGAAATAACGAAAATTACTACGTTAAATATTATTGCGTTTTAAATTTAATATTATTGAAAATAAATAGGTTAAGAAAGAAAAAAAAAAAATCAATTTTTTATAAACATATGGGAACATCAATGAAAATCGACGAAATATGCACTTTTTCTCTAAAATTAACCAAATACCTACGCGAAATATGCATTTGAAATGTTCAATTTTTAAACCCTCCGTCGTATAGAAAGTATTTCTAGCTTGGTCTGCCATACATTTAGTGCACACAAAAATATATGAAACTCCTATAACTTCCGAGCCATAATTATCACATGGAGTTCATTGCGTTCCCCTAGACATATCGGAGACTGGGCCTATAGTGTTGGGGCACGATTTAAGATACACCTATATTCGCGGTAGAAAGCAAATATAGGGGCGCCGTAATTACTTTTACTAACGGGGCCGCCACACGCCTATGCCGATAACTGATAATAATCAATTTCACATTTTCGCAATGTTAATTATTAATTTAATTTGTTTTTCACGAATAATTGAATTTTGACGTGTGGAAAATAATAAAAAAATATTAAGAATCGTTGCCAAGTGTCTTAAAACTAGTGATCTCAGTGGAAAACCTATGTTTCTACGAAGTCTATGGAATTGTTGGAATTGCAACCATTGAATAACAACCATATTAAAGTATCTACCTATGTTACTGCATATTAATTTAACAGTTGACAGGTATTCTCTATAATTTAAACATTGGTTCTAAATTATAATAATAACTTGCTGTGAATTCTGAGAAATCATCTTTAATAAAATGTTTGCTGCACACATTAATATTATTTGTGCGAGAATTAGTAATATTCATTTTTAAAGAATGCTCGCATTTCTTTTTTAGGATAACATTTTTAGGAAAAGTGTGGAAAGTCACAGGCTATCGGTATTGACCGTTGAAAATCGAATAATTATTTTGAATATGTTTACACAGAGAATATAATTTGTAAATTTAGTAGGAATAAGTCAATGTCTTACATTGTTTTACATTGTTGGAACATGACAGTATTTATGGTTTTTGCGAGTTTTTGGTGTTGTGGCACAACAAGCATGATCCATAATTGTGGGCTGGCAGCTACCAAATGCGAAAGCGTAATCATAATTAAATCACGCCGTGTGGTTAATAAATTATGACAAATCGCGTAAACTGATTCTCGATATTTTCAATTTTGTATTTCATCAATAATTCAGTTTTCGTGTCGACCCCGTTACGTTTCATGCCACCACCACCAGATGTCAGCCGCTTCGGTTTCAATCGCGAATAGGTATAATATAAATATAAATATATCTTAAATCGTGTATAGTAGTGTATTTTGTTGTTTACATGCATAGGTAATAGTTTGATACATAAATGACAGGAACATGGATGATTACAGGATATTCTTATATTCTTATAATATTCAAAATGATGCGTTCACATTTCACCGTGTCAATTCTTTGATAATATTTTTATGATAAGTGATATTTATCGAACTGATAAGCGATAGTGGCGACCGGACGAATTGATTTTTCCGAGATGACGTGTGGCGTGTGCTCAGTGCTCACTGCCCGTGTTCACTACATAGAAAAAGATACGAGAAGTTTGTTATTCATTAGCATTTTGTTATTTAGTTTTTATTTTTGAATACCTACACAATGGACGAGATACCTTGTGATGTAATCGTTTGCAAAGATCTGTTGAATGAATTTCACCAGGTATTATATTATGTAAAATTATAGTTTGTTAATTGAGTCATATACAAAAGTAGAAAAGTGTAAACACAGAAATTTTATTTTTCTTGTTTACAAATTTAATATTTACCTATTTGATTAAAAAAATGTTGTATTTTGTGTAGGAATTGCAAAATAGTGAAACATCAAAAATTGACCAATTTTTATTGCTGGGGGTCAAAATTGTTGAGAAAAATGTACTAAAAATTTATATATTAAGTTTTGTGGATTCGTCATTCGATGTAAATGATAATTGCCCTCATAACCTAACCATCTGTGGTATAGCAGGAAAAGCGGAGAAAATTGAAGATGTGGAGGATCATTTGAACAATGTAGGTATAATAATTCAAATCAAGATCTATTACTAAAATTGTTGATTTTAATTTCAGGATAAAATTAATAAAAATCAAATACTTTATTTTAATATAATCGATTCACAAGTACAACTTTGGAAGTTAAAAAAATTTGATAATGGCAATGGCATTGAATTTGAAGAACTCAAGTTTCAACTTAAAAAAAAAGAGGAATTAAGTCAGCACTTGTTATATTTTAGAACTTGTATGAAGTTAGAACTAGATAGAACAATGAACAATCCTGACTCGATATACTTTGGAAGTTTGTTGGACAAAAAGGTATGTTTATTGAACTAATTATGGTAAACAAAGTTGGTAATTATGATTAACAAAGTAATGATGAAATAGTATATTATTAACTATTAAGTTATTTATAGCTGATTAAATTAATAATTAATATTTTGTTTTTTATAAATAATATTCAAATTATTCATATTTTACTTTTTATTCACACTTCATCCTTATGATGAAATATGTGAAACTCAAATTCCCTGCCTGGTTTATATTAAAACTTAAATAAATTGTTCTCTTTAAAAGATCACATTCTCTTCAAATAGTTCTATAACCCACATCATTATTATACCCAGTTCCTTAAGTGCTGTGCCTAATATAAATTTGAGTCTAAAAGTGTCTTAAGAACTATTATCTGTACAAAGGCTGGAATAAAAAATAATCATAGCTCTTTTTTAAATTTGTTTGTAACCTCAGGTCTAGAAGTAGTATACCTAACACTGTTCACATAGATGAATTTTAGAGTTTTGACCCATAAGACATTTCTAACGTGTTTTCTGAGTTCTTTAACTCAGTTTATACTATTTCCACATTCAACAGTAATGCTAATCTTCATTTGTTTTATAACCTACCCAATAATTGATTTTTCAGTATTGCCGATATAGAGTCTGGTCTTGATAAGTTATGAAATGTGAATTTTACAGGGCCTGATGGGCTTCTGGGAACCTTCTTTATTAACCTTAGGTATTTTCTTTTCATCTTCCTATAGCTAAACTTTAGGCGTTCATTAGATGAATGGTATTTCTATCTATCTGGAAGCTTAGTTCCATCACCCACATTTTCAAATCTGGTGATAAATCTTGTGCAAGGAATTACAGACTAATTTATATCTTAGGCCATCTTGCTAAACTTTCAAGAATACTATTATGCTTTCTTAAAACTATTATGCCTTCAGTTCACCCATATTTTGTCGATGAACAGTACATTTTCAGGCCAGAGCGCTTAGCTGTGATGAACTTGTTGGTTCTCAATAATTTTATCCTCTAAGCTTTTGAAAGTAAGGGCCAGGTTTATGTTATATTCACAGACTTTGAAAAAGCCAACATTCTATTTCAAGGTCTTAACAAGACTGAGTTTGGTGATCCGCTATTGATTCATACCTATCTGGTAGGCATGAATAGGTGAAAATTAACGAATGCAAATCTGATGTTTCTTCTATTCCATCAGGTATTCTTGAAGTAGGTCACCTGTCACCTTTACAATTTGCCCCATTTATTAATATTATCAAGCAAATTATCACTAATTGCAATATCCTAGCCTTCGCAAACAACCTATAAAATTCCCATTTAATTAGGTACCATTCTGACTGTCCTGTTGCAAGGTTAACTTAACACCTTGGTTAGTTTGTTTGATTCTATTGGTTTTAACTTGAACGTGAATAAATCTATCAGTCCATGTTCTTCTCCAGAACTCGTACTTCAATTAGTCACTTCTACTTGATTAACAACATATCAATCAACTTACATCAATCAGTTGTAAAAAATACTTTGGAGTTGAGAATGATATGAAGACAGCCAGTTTATGTGAAGTGGGAGATCAGGTCAGGTGGAAGTTTAGAACGAGGATAGCCGACCCCAAATAGTTGAGAAGAAGAAGTATTTATAATAGTTTGAGTATTGACTTTTTAAGTGGTACAATTTGATAATATCTTTTTCCTTTCCTTGGAACTTTCAAAACATTTTGAAGTAATATAATAAAGTATTTAATTTAATTTACCTATTGGTTCTTACAGCAATTTAACATTCATAAAATTATACAATTATATTTTTGATTTGTTCTTAGATAGGAATAAATCCACTTTTTTTTATTGAAGAATGCAAACAGTATTTGAGTAAATTAGAGGAACACAAAATTATTGGTGAATTAATCACAAAAACACTTAAAACAAAGGAGTTAGATTTGGAAGTTTTAAATATAACTGTGTATCAAAATTTATCAGCTGCACCAACTGAAGAAACAGATACATCCGATTCTCCTATAATTTACCAAGAAAATGGTAAATTACATTTTAATGTTGTACCAATACAAATTTTGTATTTATTTGTTTATTTTTTAGTGCCATTTGATGAAGAACTTCTATGTTGTCAATTAGATGCTTTATGTATAGTTCCTAAGGGAGCCACATATGCTCAAGCATACCATCTGATTTATAATAGTATTATGAAAAATGTTAAAATAATACAGTCATTTATGATTTCAAGTCCCAAGGATCTGCCTACTGTTCATCATTTTTTACCCGATAAATTATGCCATTTTGTCACAATTGTTTGTTCACACAATCAAATTGATTCATATAGTATGTATATTATATATTAACAATAATATGTCCCCTGTAATATTTATTGGACATTTCTTCATGTTGTGTGTTATCTAGTGATTAATTATTAGTTTCATTCACATAATCAATTATGTTTGTTCAATAAATTTACTTCAATTTTTTACTTACCTAGTTGATATTAGTTATTATAGGTTTTTTTTTGATAAAAATTCATTAATCAGCTATCTATCTATTAGTAATTTTTCTTTTTGTACATACTTTTCAAAGATATCTGTATCAACACTGAAGTTTGATCCTCATTTGTAATTTATTTGTTGTTATGTATTTTACAGTTATACTTACTTAACTAAAGTATCAAACTTAGGTTTTTTAGTCCATGCAAATAAATAACGAGTGTTTTCATACAGTTTTATAATATGTAAAACCCAAAGTCCAAAAATACTTTGAAAATATTTACTTTATAATAACTTATTATTTTGTGGATTTTTGTTTTTATGTGCTATTATAGTGCATAGAAAATCATTTTTAGTAAATAACATATGCCACTTATTAATAAATTGTAGATGCTTATCTATTGATGGAGTGCATATACAAATATTGATATAATAAAATAGCTAATGTCTTATGAACTTTTTTCGCAGGCAATGTAAGAAAAAAATTACATAATGCTTTTTATTTGCCTATGGATAGACCTTTGTTCCGTATAACAAATGCCTATGAATTTGATGGTAAGCCTGTTGAGAATGATGATGGAATTTTAACAAATGTACATGAAGGATTGGCTCCTTCTGGAAGTAAGTTATAGAAAAAAATAATTTTGTTTCTTGTAAAATTATAGTGTTAGGTATATATTACTTGAAAAATATGTACGTTTAGGCAGCAACATTTCATTAAGCTTGGAAAGAGAGAAGGAACTACAAGACATGCTCAAAATAATGGATAATTTGTTAATTAGGGATTATGACATACATATTAATAGAAATATATCAAAGGTAATAAAACATAAAATAGTAGACAAAGCTTTTTAATAAAGACATGCCAATAAAAATTGATGCAGAATTATTTTGTCAATATAATGATTATATTTATTCAGAAGTTCAATGTGAGCATAGTAAATTTGTTAACGAGGAAATTAACATTAAAAAAAACATTGAGTCATATTTTAAAGAATACCAATGTGCGAAAGTAGGATTAAAATATTAATTGTATTTTATAGTTTTTTTTTTTTTGCAAACAAAAGAATTGTTTGCATATTTTAATGTTCTTAAAAATAAAGGATATATACATAAAATAAAATAAATTGGTATTAAATACAAAGAAAAATGTGTACCTTAATAAATTATAATTGTTTAATACTGGTTTAAAAAAAAAAATAATGATGGAAATGTTAGCTTATAAGATTCAAAATAATTTTTATAAATATTGAGATTGACTCATAAAATGTATATTTATAGTAAAAAACGGAAGAATATCATTAGTTCAAGGTACATATTCATTTTATCATTATGGCCAAGGTGGTTTTAATGATCATCAGTGGGGTTGTGCTTACAGATCTTTACAAACATTATATTCCTGGTTCAAGTATGTATAAAAAAATTTGTATAGTTATTATTGAAAAATATCTTAAATAAAAATGATATAAACATAATATTGTTTAATATGTTGTAATATGTTTGTTATCATACAATTTTATCATAGATTGTAATTATTTTGCCTTAATGCATATGTGTTATGCAGTATTAATTATTTAATTCATTTTTGATCAAGTAGTTTTATTTAAATATCATTTTTAAAATGTCTATCTTAAAATAAATTATTTAAATTTTAAAAACTTCTGAGGTATTTTGTTTGTTTCATGGCTAAATTGTATTTTATATAATAAATGTTTTACAGGTGGCAAGGATGGACCAGTAAACCTGTACCTTCTATACCCAACATCCAGCAAATTTTAGTTGATTTGGGTGACAAAAATAAAGATTTTGTTGGTTCCAACAAATGGATTGGTTCAATGGAAGTTTCTTTTGTATTAAATGCACATTTAGATGTTACATGTCGTATAATGTCATTAAGACAAGGTGACACACTAAATTCAGTGTGTCTTGAATTGGCTGAACATTTTGATAGACATGGCACTCCTGTTATGATAGGTATAATACATTTGTATTATTATTTAATTTTGTCATATAATTTGTATGAATGTTTTAGGTGGCGGAGTACTTGCTCATACAATATTAGGCGTTGATGTCAATGAAGACACCGGCTCAGTTAAGTTTTTGGTTTTGGATCCTCACTATACTGGTGCTGACAGTATAAAAAGTATTCATGGTAAAGGTGTTTGTTGGAAGGATGCATCATTTTGGAAAAAAGATGTGTTTTATAATCTTTGTTTGCCATTAAATTTTAGTGGAATATAATATTTTATAATTTATTAAAAATTCTTTGTATTAACATTTTTATTTTCATTTTAAAATTGTTAAAATGTGTAAGTAATAATTACAACTATTTAGTGAATTTAAATCTAATCAATTTAACTGATATTTAATACCATGTTTTAAAATAATTAAAACAGTTCATAAATAAATAGACGATTATTAAAAATAAATATTAACAACACTTTAATACCTACTTTCATTATTTAATAAATCAGTTAATAACATTGATCTGAACATTTTGTTGATTAATTAGCTAAATAATTGAAAAATAATTAAATTTATATTTTTGATTTATTACAAGTAGAACAAGTGAACTATAATTTAATAAATTAAGGATCCTATGAATAATATATTAAGATATCTTATGTCCTTATAATCCTAATTATGTATATTTTTCTATCATACTTTTAAGAGTAATAAATATGCTCAAAACTATAATATAACCATATAAATAACTAATTGACCATAGATGGAAATTTGTATTAGTCGTTTTTAGGACTTCTTAACAAATTTATCTTTTTTATCATTTGATTAATTTGCTGCAATTTTGCATGATTTCTTTTTGTAACTTAATTCTATGTAACTATCCTTATCCATATCTATCATGATTTATTTGATGTATCCATCCTTGGTTTTCTCTCCCAATATGACCTATGCTATTGGTTCCTGGCTATTATATTATGAAAAAGTTCTAATTTTTCTTTTTTTAGTACTTTTTGATTAACAAATTTCATGTTCTGATAATTGTATGAGCTGCATCAATAATGAAAAAAAAAAATGTAAATGATATTTACAGTTCTTTCTGATGTTTATAAAGAATCTTTATAATTATTGAAAATTGTTCTCATAGTGATCACATTTTAAGTATAAAATAAACATTTTATTCTTTCTAGAGGTAAGATGAAGATTGTGCGTTAATATTTTTTTTTCTTTGTTATTTGATGTTAATAATAAATCATTTAAAACAAATATATGCTATTGTTATGTTGTGAGTAACATATTTTATTGTTATGATTAGTTTTACTCTATGTTTTTGAATTATTAAACATATCCTTTGTTATTTGTTCTATTAAAAGAGTAAGCATACATTTATTTTGTAGCATAATTTTTATTTTTTTCAAATATTGTAAAAAATATATAAGCTTTCTATACATTTGTAAATATTATTGAAATTATAAACTTCCTTCCTCTATTTACATTGTATACATAATTAAATTATAATAAACATTCAACTCAATTTTTTACGCATATTACTTAGTTTTGTAATTTAAATTAAAAGTAATTCTAGGTTATATCATGCATCACTAATCAACTAATGATTGAAAATCATCTTAATTTTTCTTCTTATTTCAGTATCACCTTCCCTTAGTAGTTTGGCCACTATATTGTTTTTCCCGGGTGCTTTATTGTTTTTAAGATTATTAATTTCTTCTTGTTGGGGGTATTTTATCTTCGATTCTGTCGTATGATAGATAGCTTAACTATTTTCTACTATTGGTTGATTTAAGAGTTGATACTCTTTGAAATGTTTCACTATGTGCTTTTCTTCCATTCTTAAGTTTCCTGACTAGTCTGAAATTATTCTTGTCTGTGACTTGAAACCAGCTTTCATACTTCCGCTTTCATTGAAAAACTTTCTACCATTGTATCTATTCCTTTCAATTTACTGTATTTTTTTCTTTTTACATAGCCGTTTTTTATAGCTTTTTTTTTGATTTCTTTGTTCTTTGAAATTATCAATATTTTTCTGTTAGGAGTTAGGTAACACTATTTTTCTCAATTCTTTTCTTTTGGTTATAGCATTGCCCCACGACTCATTGAACCAGCACTTTTTCGTTGTCTTTTCTCCATTCTCAGAACTTCATTTGCATTGTTAGTCACTACGTGGTTTGTCTCCAAAGTATATTGTTTACATAATCTTTCACATTGTCTCTCTGTATTATGCTAATCCTATCCAGGTTTTGTCATAGATTTTCTGCATATTTTTTACTTATTTCGATTTATTCTAATGTTTATACATAGTAGATATCTTTCTCTGGTTTTTTTTTTATGTAATTTTCTATTTCACTGATAGTCTTAAATTGAACTTTACATAAAGTAGGTAGTAATTAGTATCTGTATCAGCTCCTCGTGTCTGTTCTCAGCTTCTGAATACAGCTAATATGCCTTTTGTTAATTAATATATTTTGGTCTATTTGATTGTGCGTCCTTCTGTCATGTGACTTATACGTATGTTTGTGTATGTCTTTAAGTTCTATTGAATCACATAGTAAATAGATTAATTTTCAATTTAATCAGAAATTATTACTTTCTATTACTTCAATTTATTTATGCAAAACACTATTTTCAACACTAGCGATAATAAAAAACAAATATCGCTCCAGATAAAATATCGAAGCAGATTTAAGAGTGGCAGACTCAAATATCAAACCCAATTTAAATTCAATCATGTCTAAAATTCAAGCACAAGGGTCTCATTAAATTATTTAACTTTATAATTTTAAACTATTAAAATGTTGATTAGGTACAATAACTATAACAATTTCAGTTGTTTTTTTTATATTTTGGAATCAAAAATTTGGATAAATTAAATTAAACAAATATTTAAATTGCCTAAAATTAATAATTTAATTTATACGACAATAATTATTGTAAATATTAAGTAAATATACATTTATGTAATGTTTGTAGGAAGGGGGTCGTCTCATCGAAATAAATTAATTTGGGGGTCATGGATCAAAAAAGGTAGCGCACTATTGCTTTAAGGTATGTACTGAAAAAAATGAAGTATTTCACAAAACAAAATTTTTTTTTTTTGAAAGAACAAAATTATAATTTTTTTAAAATGTATTGAGTACCTATTTCGAAAAAGAATTCATTTAAAATGTCAACTCACAAAAAATCCATATCTTTTAAAGTATAGCATAAAAGTATTTTTACTAATCGAAAAACTATTTTCTTTAAAAAAAAAAAAAAAAACACAAATTAGTAAAACATATATTGGTTCGCTATACTTAAAATCTACAACATATAGGTGCATCCGTATGGAGGTTGTGGAGGCACCCTAGATTTACCTATTACATTAATATTTTCACCTTAGAACAAAATTTAAACTATGCCACTGATGTAAACATGAAAAAAAAAAACACTCTAGTAGCAGAGCTCTGTCACTGAAGTCGAATTTTCTCTCGACGGCAAAGCGTTACAAAACCTACATTTTCCGGCCATAACCAATTTTTTTTTTACTTTTTTACTTAAATCATTATTTTTCAGTTAAATTGGAATACACAGATATGCGTAATAAATTAATCTAGTTTATTGTATTTATCTGTGATGTAGTTACTAATTAGGTATAAAAAAACTAGATTAATAATTTGCCAAATATGTTAAAATTCGTGGACAGTGGCTCTACAGTTAAAAAATAACAAGAAAAACCAAATACAAATATTTTTAGAGACTTGAAAATTAGACAGAAAACGTATATTTGCCTTTTCTAGACCTGGTAAAACTTTCAAAATATTTGATTAATTTTCGAGCTATTCATAGATATTTTAATTTTGCGACTTTTTACCTAATTTTCATTTAATAGGTACTCTATGAATAAAATTGTTAGATCAAATATAAATGCTTGAAAATTTAACTGAAGGTTCATTATACGTCGTAGTACGCTATGGGGTCAAAAAAAAAAAAAAAAAAATGATTGTAACGTAGAATTGTTTTTTTATAAGAATTTGAATATCAGATTTTGATGAAAATCTTAAATATTACACCTTCTCAAAACATATGTAACCGAACTCCGCTCACTGTTCAAAATCGTTTTTCGTTAGCAATGATTAATTATTGAGTGTACATTGAATTCCTCTCTATATCCTATCTTGCCAACTTTCCACCTACAACAGTGATCCACCCATCGCGCGAAGTATGTCTGTCTTTTGTTTTATTTATAAACAAACGTATTAAGAATCGAATATTGGTACCTATCGAGAATCGAATTGTTGGTGTCGTCTATAAATTAATAAAGAAACGCCGCGCGAGGTGCTTTCGTTTTTTTTTTTTTTTTGCGTGGGTGTTAGAACAATTTATACTAGGGATTAAGTGCACCCAAATTATACAAAGTCCTATTAAAACATTAAAAACGTTATGTGCCTCTAGGAGTGAAACTCGAAAAATTCCTTCCCTCTTCCCCCGTTAATACGCCACAATACCAACTAACTTTGATTTAGGTACAGCAATAATTCCTTCTTACTTTATATTTCTGTAATTTGGGTAGTGGGGGAGGGTCTAAACCATTACAATTTTTCAATTTTTCCATTTTCAGAAATATCCGGGCGCGTGTTTTATAATATTTATACAGATTCTGAGTGTACGAAGAATCTAAAAACGAGGGGAGGTACTCATTTTTAATTTTTCAAGAATATTCCAATCCTACAGTACAGTTAAAAGTAGAGTTTAATCAAATTAAACCTACCATCCATTAAAATTGAGAAAGCTATCAAAATCGTGAATATCAAACCCTATTTTTCACTTATATTTTTTAAACCGACATTTTGAAAAAAAAAAAAAACGTTAACATTTTGATCAAGCACTATTGAACGACAAAATGTTGAAAATCAATAATTTGGAATATTACCTAGTCATTATTTGCAACAGGCATTTTATTTAATGGAAAAATCTTCAGCGTTATAATTTTAAACCTTAAAAATCTTGAATATCAAACGATTAAAAATTTAAAACCTTAAACGTCAAAATCTAGAATGTATAATTACGTCAATTTCTTGAACGTACAAAAACTTGAATGTCAAAACACACTAGAAACGCGGTTGCTCATAATTTGTATTATGTGTAGTGTAGACAACCACAGCATTTGATTGTATTGAAAAATAGAAATCTATAAGGGGCAATTATAGGCAATCACACATTGAATCTAAGTTTTGCAGTACAAGGTTTTGACTTACAACCGTATTAAAATCAAGATTTTTATGATCTCGAAGCAAGTTCAAATTGACGATGTTCAAGATGTTGCCATTCAATGGAATGCCTGTCCCAAATGATGACTATGATTTATTTAAAATTATTTTCAAAATGTTGCCGTTCAATAAATTACTTGATCAAAAATGTTAACAATTTTTTTTTTTTTTAATTTTTAGTTTTTAAAAAAAATTACCGTTTCATAATATCAAAATATTCAACCCATTATCACGGTGTCCCAAAATTTTAGTTATACTGGTGTAGAAATTTGTCCGAGATATGTTTTATGTGCAGGGAAATCAATATTATTTTATCTTCTGCAGAAAGGTATGATGAAAAAACAATAGACGATATTATTAATATTATATCTAATACATATGCGGGCAGATCATAGGTTTTATGTATTGTTGAAATGGACAGTAAAATTTGAATCGTGGAACACTCTCGCGTAGACCGTAATAACGAAACGATTGAAGTACACAATGTTGTTTTACACTCGGAACGTGAAAACGTCTCATAAATGATTTACGGTATGAAAAATAAAAAAATGCATCCATATAAACACATCAGTAGTTAATATAGAACAATGAAATTATGTACACCTTGGGTAGATAATAAACCTGCGCGCTGTATTGTGACCACAGACGTATACGAATGAGTGTCTAATAATGGTCAATTGATTTATCGTTGTTGATTTTGAAT